TTTTTCGGGAGGCGCGTTTCGTAAGTCGAATTTTTTCGGTAGAAGAAGCATTCGTAAGTAGAGGTACCACTGTACACAGGAGTCACACATTTAGCTTGTGGAATTTGCTACCAAAGCCTGCGATAGCAACAGCTCCTAGATCAGACATAATATAAATATACATATCCATATTTTTAAATATAAAAGGATTAGCATCAACTTTTTCCAAACTTCCAGGTGTGTTGCCCTAGCACATGATCCCCGTTGCCAACAGTAGTTTTAGATAAATTCACATTTCCCTTTTATGATACTGAAATGGAAGCTACCGTGTGGCAAACTTTGGCTTTAAAATCTGTCCTTTAAAATTTCCTTTATTATTATTGAAGTATCAAAAATATTTTGCCTGGCAGGACAGAAAGCGGAATAAATACCTTTGAACAGCAGCACTCTCCTATATCCTAAATGCTCAGGACCATAAGCGTTTTGGATTTTGGAATATTTGCACATATATAATAAGATATTTTGGAGACGGGATCCGAGTCTAAAGATGAAATTCACGTATGTTTCGTATATACCTTATAAATACAGCCTGAAGATAATGTTATAATATTATTTTTTAAATAATTTTGTGCACGAAACCAATTTTATGCACACTGAACCATCAGAAAACAAAGATGGTATTATCTCAGCCACGCAAAATTTGGGATTTTGGTGTATTTCAGAATTTTTTTTAATTATTTTTATTCCACAAATGCTCACGTATAGTACATATAAAACATAAAACATGACAAAATAACCCACCTACTAACTTGTATCTCATTCATACATAACAATAACAAAAAACATTCTTTCTTGAATATCTAAAAAAACATCTAACACATATACACAATGACCTGAAAGCACACAACAACACAAAAATACCGAGATACAGCAGTGTGGTGTAGTGGTTTCAGCGTTGGACCAAGACTCTGGAGACCAGGGTTCGAATCCTGGCTCAGCCAGGTTAAACCTATTGGGTGCCCTTGGGCGAGTCACACTCTCTCAGCCTCAGGGGAAGGCAATGGCAAACCCCTTTGCGAACAAATCTTGCCAAGAAACCCCCTGAAGTTCGCCATAAAGCTGGAAATGACTTGAAGGCATTTCCTACTGAGTGCCCTTGGGTGAGTCACACTCTCTCAGCCTCAGGGGAAGGCAATGGCAAACCTCTGAACAAAATCTTGCCAAGAAAACCTCTGAAGTCAGAAACGACTTGGAGGCACACAACAACAAGAAGAACATGGGCTTTCCCTGGCATGTTTATTCGAAGAAAATGGGCACCTTCTGAGGCTAAGAGAGTGTGACTCGAGCCGAGGTCCATTATGGCCGAGCCGGGATTCGAACTCGCGTCTCCAGAGCCGTAACCGACGCTCACACCTGGGAGGGAAATGGGGGGAAATGAGGACGAGGCGCCTCACCGGTGAGCCCTCCTCCTCCTCCGCCTTCGTCGCCATAGCCTCGCCTCCGTTGGAGGACGAAGTACCGGTTGGAGCGCTCCTGGAGCCACAGCTTCAGCGCGTTCTTCAGCAGCACCTCCTCCGGCTTCAGCCACATATCGCCGACCTCCGCTCTCCTCCTCCGCTCAGCGCCTTCTGAGGAAAGCGTCCCACGTCCACAAACACTCGGCCAGCACAGGGCGGGGCTCCGCTCTGGCCCAACCCCATTTCGCGCGGGGCACGCCGGGGCATGCAGTCCCCATAACGGCCCTTACCATAGCGGTGCGCCAGTGATACACTACAATTCCCGGCAAGCTTTGCGCAGCCTGGCTTCCTCCTTCCCCTCTGGCTCCTCCCACAAACACCCAGCCAGCAAGAGGTAGGGCTTCGCTCTGGCCCAATCCTCCTCCTCCCCCGCAGGGCACGCTGGGGGATGTAGTCCCCACAACGGCTCCTCCTATAGAGATGCACTTGTGACGCAACTACAAGCCCCGGCAAGCTTTGCGCAGCCTGGTCTCCCTCCCATTCTAGTAGAGGCTGGCCAAGGGCAAAGCAGGAGGGAAGGAGGAGTTTTCCTTTTCTCTGGCTTTATCCACATTGCAGGGATAATCCGGTTTGACACCACTTTAACTGCCCTGGATGAATGTGATGGAATTCTGGGAATTGTAGTATGTTCTGGCACCAGAGCTTTGCTATACTATTACTATATAAATTATATCTAATTTATTATATCTAATTATATGCGTAATTATATATTATAATAATGTATTAAAATAAATTATACATTAAAATGAATTATAATTCATTATACATAATTATATATAAATTATATAATTAAAATATATAAATTATATAATAAAATTATATATAATATATATAATATATAATAAAATTATATCATAAAAATAATCTCATATATACACACACACACATATATACATATTATATATAAATTATATATGTATATAAATACAGAGCTTTATCCTGGGAATCCTGGGAATTGTGTAGTTTCTTGGGGCACAAGAGCTCTCTGACAGAGAAGGCTAAAACTACAATTCCCAGAATTCCCTAGCATCCAGCCCCAGGGATTTTAAGTGGTCTCAAATGGGAATATTTCTGCAGTGTGTTTTGGACCAAAGTGATTCTGCTTTTTAAGGAGTGCTTTTCGGGGCTCTTAGGCTTTTAAAGCAAGTCTTACCATGATTGGGATAACATAAGACAAGCTGTCAGGCTTCAGACAACATAGAAAGCGGTATCTCTAAAGTATGGATGCGCCTTTTCCAGAGCTCACTCTCACCTTTCCTATACAAAAATCTCCCTTTACCATGTGAATCTACAGGTGAAAAGTTTCCTCTTATATCAGTGGGGATATTGAACTTTTTATCAATATTTTTCGTAGGTGGATGATACTCTTATCTAGTAGAAACAGAATTTATATTCTTTATGAGCACTAGGCAGCCAGTATGGTGCAGTAGTTTGAGTATGGGAGGAAGACTCTGGAGACCAGGGTTCAAATCCCTGCTCAGCCACAAAAATGCACTGGGCGACCTTGGGCAAGTCACACTCTCTCAACCTCCGAGGATGGCAATGGCAAAAACCCCTCTGACAAAACCTGCCACAAAAACCTTGTGATAGGTTTGCCTTAGCGTCATCATGTCAGAAATTACTTGAAGGCACACAACACACACATATGAGCACTATGCACACGATATATACCACCTTTATAACCGAAAGTTTCCCCAATGCCCTGTGTACAAACAACTAGTTAGACAAAGCCCTTCTTTCCCATCAAGTTGCTTTAAAATAAATAAACATAAAATCAAGGGATGATGGAAATTGCAGTGGAACAAGATCTTGAGCAAGCATAGGGGAAAGTGAAGACTGAGCAATGTATGTGGCCTCTGAAGCTGTTGAAGGTTCCCAAGGATCACAGATTTTGGAAGACCAAAAGATCTCCAACCCTTCTTTAGTAGTCTCCAGTTAATCCCACTTCACTGCTAAAGGCATTAGTAGACATTGCTCAGGCCTTACTTATATTTGTAATATTATACGCTTATGATCTGCATACTACCAATAGAAAACTTCAGCAAAGATGGACACCTTCTAGAGTTCCATACAATCACAATTTTGTTTGACAGGAGCTAGATTGCCAACACAGTCCAGTTTTTATACACAACCGCTTTTATTATATAAAAAAAATAAGTAAACATCCTTAACAGACATTAGAATAGCTTTATTTACATTTCATAGTCAATAGAATTTGATAGAAATCAATATTATTTACAACTTTATCAAACACTATGCCAAAATGAGAGGAAAGATGTACCGTTGTCTCCTGTCAGAATCAACTGCAGAGTTAAAAAGACATTATCGGCAGTCTTCGGTCCAGATTTATTCTAGCATTGCAACTGGAGACAGCCACGGAGAATACAAAATAAAATAAAGTGCATTATTGGATACAGTAGTTCACTTGAGTGGATGAGGTTCCAGGCTCCATGCTAAGGCACCTCTTATGTTCAAATTCAAATTCCTGTTTCAGACATTAGAAAAATAATTTCAGAAGACGTTCATCCATTCATCGACTGCCACTTTACTCATGTTCTCACTCTACCAACTCTGAATATCAACAGAACGTCTTACATACCTTTATTTCCTTCAGAGTAGCAGCAACAAAAATTCCCTCTGAGTGACCGATCTTCAGCATCTAAGAAAGCTGAGAGCAGCATTTAAAACCTGGGCACATTTCAGGGCTATGTGAGAGTGTGCATCAGTTAAAACTTAAAGCAGTTCCCAGAAAATATGGGGAAAGTGTATGTCCTTTAACCATATTCCTCCTGCCCCAGTAAAATGTGCACATTCAAAATGGTTAATTAACCATTTGTTCGAATAACGGAATGTGCCCTTTGTTTAACAAGTTTTAACTTGCTTCTAACTAGTGATTGAGAATCCCCAAAGTATTTTATGGGTATGTTTGAGAAGTGGCTTGTTTTGCTTGGTCTAGTAGCCAAATGCTGCAAGAAGCTAACCCCAGAGCTTAAGGTGTGAGTATAAGGCTGCTCTGTAATTATATAAACACGCAACAATAAATCAGGATGATCCTGAAAAGCAATATACCTTAGTTGAGTACATAAACCAAAAGATCAAAAAACCCAAGTCAATTAAGACAGTTAATTTAAAACCAGAAGACCTTTAAAAAAAAACAAACAAACCACGAGTACAATTTTTGTAGGCTGAATAAGTTACGTTCTATTGCATGAAAAAGTGTTTGTGCTCAGATGACTTGGTTTTAAGACTCTGTGTCTTCCTTGGTCATAACTGAAAGATAGATGAAGAGCGTCAAAATTAATTCCACCAGGAAATAAGTTAATGGGCAAGTCAATTCATGGAAATGCAATCTTAAATTGTGTATTTTATCGCATTATCAAGGCAAAATTGCTGCTACATCAGTCTGATCAGATTTGTCATTGGTTGATGCTGGTTTCTCAAGTGGATAGCAGGTGTTTGTTTTTTCCCCATGACAGTCATTTTAAGACTTTGCTTCCTGGACTTGTACTTCATCTGCTTCAAAAGCTGGATTGTCAAGATGTGGAAGCACATCTACAGGTGGAGACTGCAAGGTGTTGTTCACAAGATGGAGGTTGTCATCTTTTAGAGGAAAAAAATAAGGAGAAATAAAAATCAAGCTTAGAAAGAACAGTCACAACTGAACAGTATATAATTGCATCTCAATTCCAGTTTTCAGAAAATCTGAACAAACATCAAGCACTTTTGGCTCACAACTCCATCTGCTAACAGAACATGTATTTGAGAGAGAGGTAGAGCTTGAGTTCAAAGATTTTTCTTTTTCTGTTCACACCTTTGGGAACACTAACTTTGCTCAGTACCCCAACTCAGTAATCCTTGATATTAGAAGGTATTAAGAATCACTGGCTGCATCTGCACTGCAGAAATAATCCAGTTTGACATGACTTTAACTGCCATGGCTCAATGGTGTAGAATTCTGGGAACTGTAGTTTTGTAAGATATTTAGCATTCTGTCAGACTGCTCTGATGCCACAACAAACTCAGAATTGCATAGCACCGAGCCAGGGCAGTTAAAATAGTGTCAAACTGGATTATTTCTGCAGTGTTGACGCAGGAGCCATTGAGAAGCCATGCAAAATATTAAAATAAATGTCAAAGACAATAATTTGTGAATATAAAAGTTAATATTTAACATGTTGTTAGGATATCCATAAACTGAGAGCAATGAGTTCAAAAAATACAAATGTACTAGCAAAAGCTCACAGCAAAGCTTTTAATAGGAAATACCTATTTATTCCATGCTTTGTATTTCAATAACTTAAATCTATTTACAAGAATTTTCCAATGTTCAGAATAAATAATGCAGATGACTTGTTCACATGATCACACAGCTAGGGTCACAAGTTTAAACTTAAAGACTTTTCCAAATACACTATTCCTTTCACTTCTTGCTATCTTGCTTCAAGCTTTGCCACTGTGATCATGTGGAACAGATATACTCCTGT